GTCACGCTCGACAGCGAGGGAAACCTAAAGTTGTGCTGCCTAGTCTTCTTATTCCTATGGTCTTTGAGTATTTTCATTCTTCTCCTGTGGGTGGGCATCTAGGTATCCACAAGACCATTGCGAAGGTTAGGGAAATGTTCATCTGGAAGGGTATGGATCGGGACCTTGCTGCTAGGGTGCGTTCCTGTCAAACGTGCTCACTGAGCAAGCCCGCTCAAAACACCAAGTTTGGTTTGTTGTCATCTGAGGTGGCGGAAAGACCTTTGGAGAAGGTTTTCATTGACTATGTAGGGCCTCTCCCGCGTAGCAAGTCAGGAAATAAGTTCCTACTTGTTTGTGTGGATGCCTTCTCCAAGTTTTGTTGGCTTTTTCCCTTAAGGAATGCCACTGCACAGCTCACCGTGCAGGTACTTCGAACTCACCTCTTCCAACATTTTGGAATACCCGCCACCATTGTTTCCGACAACGGAACACAGTTTGTTTCCCATCTGTTCAAAAGAATGTGCTTTGGGCACGGAATCCGCCATGTGACTACTTCCCCTTACTATCCACAGCCTTTTCATGCTGAAAGGTTCAATCGCAATCTTCGCTCCGCTCTCATAGCTTTCCATGCTGACAAGCAGACCACCTGGGATCAGGAACTCCCTTGGCTTCAGTTTGCTTTCAATACTGCTCACCATGAGAGTCACAAGGCGGTCCCTTTCGAGCTGTTTCTAGGCTATCCGCCTAACAACCCGTTAGCGAATGTGTGGGGAATTGGCGACCTTCTGCCACCTCCTGGTGCGGCTAATGTCAAGGCAACTTGGCAAGCGGCCAGGAGAAATTTGATCAGAGCTAGGGAATTGGTCCGGAGGAAGCACAATCGTGGTAGAATAGACAACCCTTTCCAGGTGGGGGATTTGGTGTTTTGTAAAGCTCATCCGGCCAGTTCGGCTGTGGACAAGAGAGCTGCCAAGTTGTGTCATCGGTGGTCAGGTCCCCACCGCATCCTGAGGTTTTTGACGCCTGTCACGGTGGAGCTTGGAGATCCGCGGTCTGGAAAAGTGTTCCGGAGGGCGCACATTTCTCATCTCAAGCCCTTCCGCGGAACTCTTCCGTAGGCAATTTTCTTTCCTCTTGTGTCTGGGTGGGAAGTGCACTGGGCCAAAGAACCTGATCACTTCTCCTGTCCCCTGTGTTCTGCGAAGGAATTTCCCTCACAAAATTTTCCAGAGCAAACCCTGGGGGTGAGTTTTCCCCTCAGTTTGGAAGTCCCTTGGCGTTCCCCCACCACAGACACTTGAGTTGTCTTTCAGGTCAATCTCTTTTCAGGAAGTGGGGGAGAGGCTTGTTTGTTTGTCCCTTTTGGAGAGGAGTGTCCTCTTTTGGGGAGGGAGGTTGAGCCGTGACTAATTCCACCGGGCGAATGTCACGACTCATATTCAATGGTTCAAGTGTATTTTTTTATAGTAGGCTAGTTTAGTGTGTCGTTTTGTTACTTCAACGACCCCGAACAAGGCTGTGGGGTTTTGTTCCTTTTACTCTTTCCGCCAGCAACTCATAGGTTCAGCGACGTCAGAGCCGTTTGCCTCGCAGAGGATTTTCAGAACAAAGTATTCTTTTACATCTGTCCCTATGCTTTACCTTTTGCAAAGCAGTTTTGTTGATTGTTCATTCCTTTTGTTCTGCTACGCAATGGAGTAAATTTTAGTACGCCCTGCGCGCCTTTTGGGGCCCGTGAGGAGGACATGAAGCAGACCCGAGCTATTTTGGCGGAGAGGAAGTTTGTTTCGCCTTGCTGTCTCTGGGATTATGGCCTACCTCTCCGTTCTGCTCGTTTTCCCCTCCCGTGCTGCTCGCCTAGGAGATGGACCTTCAACTGGTAGCAGAGAAGCTTTTCCTACTTGGGGCCAATCTTTTGGACTTTGGGATGCCCCCTCTCTGCCCAGTTTCATCGCCCCTCCACCTAGTGACTGAGATGCCCTAGACAGTTACCGCCTAGTTACGGCAAGTTACTACTGTTGTTATTTAGTGTCATTTATTGTTGATTAATTTTTAGATTTTTATATCAAGATTTAAAGCCTATTTATTGTTATTTTTTGAGAAAAATTTATTCTATAGTTTTTAGTAATTCATTTATAAAAAAAAGAAATTTTTCAAGAGCATTTATTTTTGGGGCCCCTAAATGTTAAATTGTTGCCAGTTATTTAAAGGAAGAGTTTTTTTTTATATATCCATTGTTGCAATTTTACAAATTTTATTTTATTAAGGTTAAAACTGATTAAATTTTACTTTAACTGAAATTAGCCTATTTGAATTTTTTAAATTAATGTTTGTAAGTTAGTAGGTCAGAGTGGTATCTAAATTCCTTTAAAGTTTTTGAGAGTATTTAATTCATGTATTGTTGTTGATTTTGTTGTTATGTTTATTTAAATGATTAATTACAGCTCGTTTCTCTCAAATGGCGTGTTGTTCTTGAACCTCCATCCATGGTTCTCATTTTGTTAAGTAAAGTTTTGTGAGCCGCTCCTCGGGCCTGCGTATGGATCACGCTTCCATTTCGTTAGTCTGGGTGCAGGCACGAGGGCATGGTTCAAAATAATAAATAAAAATACCTTTATGTACAAGCAAGTTTCATATTATATTATTTTCAAACTAACTCAAGTCAAAAACTAAATCTAAACTAGCCTAATATTTACACATATATACAAAAATTACCATGGAAAAACATGAACAATTTAAAATTAACGTTTGTTTTTTCTTCATTGCGGCCCTGAATGAACCATAGGATTTGGAGGTCTTTATGTCTTGAGGGAGGCCATTACACAACTGCGGGCCGAAATAAAAAAAAGACTTTCTTCCAATCTCAACCCTCACTTTAGTAAAGTGAGGCCTGCGGTCGGAACGAGTACCAAGCAGACAGATCTCCCCCTTGTAATTAAGCATCCCGCTGAGGTACCGAGGCTCTCCCAGCCTGAGCTCTTTGTGGACGAGGCAGCAGGTAAACTTCCTGCACATGTCATCCTTTGGGACACGTGGTCAAAGTTATTATGGCCAAAAATGAACCTTAAGGCAGAATTTTGAATTCTTTGAACTCTTGCCATATCCTCCTTAGAGATGCTGTTTCCATGCAGGGAAGCAATATGTGAATGCTGGAAGGACCAAGGATCGCATGAGTTTCATTTTGACACATTCTGGCAGTAGAGTTTTAAATCTGTTAATACCTCTCAGTCTACCCACTGCACCTTTAACTGCAGATGTGATATGGTCAGAAAAAGAGAGGTCTTTGTCAAGTACAGAACCAACTGTGTTGACAGTGTTGCAAAGAGACAATCTCATGCCATCAAGGGTGACTTCTATAGCAGATTTAATCAATTCCTTTATCAGACTGTGTGGTCCAGTATGCATGACAACACACTTGTCAACATTCAATCCGAGCCCATTCGTGAACGACCACTGAAAAATGCTGTGCAAATCAGTATTGATGAGCCGAATTGCTTCTGATGCCATGTCTGGCCTGTACGACAAGTGAAGTTGGCAGTCGACATCATAAAAGTGTGCTGCACAAAATACCACACTTCTGAGCAAGTCAACCGTGTACAAGTTGAACAGCACCGGGCCTAAACAGCTACCTTGAGTAACACCACGCAGTTTGCAAAGCGGATCTGACGTCTCACTCCCACTTTTTATAACCTGCAGTCGGGACTCCAAATATGACCGGAACCAACAAACATCTTTTTTACTGCAACCGTAGCACTTCATTTTGGCCAACAATTCATGATCAATAGAGTCAAATGCTTGAGAATAATCGAGAATAGCTAATGTGCTGTAGTAGAGTCCTTTATCTTTGCCCCCAGTACACTCTCGCCGAGACGCTCGCCGAGGTGCCTCGCCGAGGCACTCGCCGAGTAATTCGGGCGAGAGCTTATGCGAGGTAACCGTGTACACTCTCGCATTTTCTCGCAGTCGAAATGGAACAAACTTCGATGTGGAAGTAGCGCTCGCCACTCGTGCAGTCTCGGGTCCTTTGACTCGTGTCAAAAAACCGACTCCAGGTGGAGCGCCGGCGAGCACGAGGCAAGGCGAGGCGAGGCGACCCGAGTCAAGGCGAGAGAAGACGAGCGCACCGAGTACACTCTCGCACTCGCCAACGCTCGCCTTGCCTCGGCGAGAGTGTACTGGGGGCACAGACAGCTCCCCCACCACAGTCCGGTCATGCCTGCCGTGCCGCCATTTAATGCAATGTTATCGTACGCTTATTATAACACCTAAACTTAATGTGATTGCATTGTTTTATAAGCATTAAATGTATGTAACAGCATTTACCTTTTATTTTGTAGATTGGATTTATTTGTTGCGAAATAATGGCTATTTTATTTAAAACCTCGATATTGTAAAGCAGTTATTTTTGAACGATATTGGCAATAAAACAAGAGTGTACTAGTTCCAAGTAGTTCCAAAAAGTACTTAAGTATAAAAACATAAGAAAAAGTAAGGTACTAGAGAATTCTATGAAATTAAACTTAAATTAAAACATAACACTAAATGATTAAAACAAACCTTAATGATTACTTAACAAAACAAAATCATAAATACACAACTGCAAAACCTGTTTCAATAATGTTATAGCAATAGTATATTGTAGAGAGTAAGTCATTACATGTTTTTTAGAATATTACGAAAGACTAATTATTTCAAAATGCATTGAAATATTAATTTAAGAAGCTAAGAATTTAAAACTAGTAGAACTTTTTTGGTTAGGCCTTGTGTTTAAAGTACAAATTCACGTAATTTGAACCGTTTTGGTTGTTGAAAATTAAAACAGTTGATGAAAAAATAACAAATGTGTGTTTGCTTATGTAGGAAAAATCATAAACAAAGATAATACACATTACTTTCGCATAATAAACATTCTTCTTGCGTAGGAAAACGATGTAGTCTAATAATAAATCCTTGCAGGTGATAAACATAAACTAATCCCCCTACGTATAGAATTACAAACAATTCAATGGAATACTGACCGCTGATTTTATCCTGTGATATGCCACCTGGAAAAATTTCGAACAAAATTAAAACAAATAAAAAAATTAATAAACATTATCAGCAATCTGACACATACTTTCTCCCAGTAACTTTCAACAACCGATATCGTGGTTAAGCGATGAGAGTAACTATCAAATAAGTAAAAATCACAAAGATTTCATTATTTTTTTAACCTTTATTTTTAAAGGCTTTTCTGGGGTTGCACTATTTGTTTAAAATAATTGTAAGGACCATAACAAAACAATTTTAATCAGAATCGGTTTGTTTAAGTCCATTTTCCGTTTTTTTCATGGGTTTTATGGGAAAATAACATAAGTTACAATAAGTTTTGAACAGTAATTGTTACAGAAATGGGGGATCCACTATGTTTTTAAGAATTATAAGATCCATGACATACTAATATCAATCGAAACAGTTTTTTTTATCCAATTATTCTCTTATTTTTTGTTTTTATTTGACAATAACATAAGCTACAATAACCTTTGAACTGTATTTTTTACAGGAATAGGAGCTCTACTATTTTATTCAGAATTTAAAGGGCTACAGCATACTAAATATTTATCAAAATCGTGTGGGCTATTTTTCAGAAAATTTGAATTATGCGTTATTTTATGGGTTTTTATAAAAAAAATCACAATCATAAATGCAAATAAAAATAAATAAAAGTCCTGAAGTAACCGTGGCCTTTCAACTACATTCAAATTTCTTCAAAATCAGACCACAGGTGTGGTCTGGAGCTCTGATTATATCCACACATACAAACAGACAAACAGACACACACACACAGACTCAGACACACATACTACACTATACCGATACTTGTGTGGACGTGGGTTTTTAACCAAATTATGTGGACCTCAAGGCACATGGTTGAAAAAACATCATAGGTTCTTTCTAACCTCAAATTGAAGATGAATATGTAGTAATGATGAATATGTTTATTGGTCTAAATAAAGTAAAAAATAAATCATGAAAATTGTGTGGATGTCCCCACAGTTAATGCAAGAGTTGGTCATATCCCTACAGGTAATAGAAAAGCCTATGTCCGCAGAATTAATGTAAATGTTGATACAATCGAGTGTTTTTTCCATTGAGGGTGTTTAGGTCCATAGAGTTTGGGAATTTCACTAGTCGGATTTTGACAGTATATTTGTTAGGTTGTCTCCGATCCTGTTAATAAATTAATCGTTGTATATTTGTCACATCTAAACTGCTATTTAGCATATTAAATAAAACTATCTATGAGTTAATTAATTGTAAAAAATTACAAGTACCATATGTACAATATAATAAAAAATAATGCTTCTCGTTTGATAATAACATAATACTAGTGTACCGGTTGCTTGAATTCGAGTAATTGCTAAGTAGGCCTATTAGAGGCGTTATTTTAAAACGAATAACAGTCATAATTGCTGATGACTAAGATTCGACTCAAAGATTATGGAAATAATCAAGATGTACGTACCAGATCGATATAGGCCTAATCAAAATTTTTTGTAAATATCTTATCATTTTTTCAAAAGCTGATCATGTTTTTTAGTGTTTTCTATAAATAGCCTTACTCTTATCCGCATTAGGTTGTCCATAATAACGATTATAATTTCAAAAAAAAAATCATGATTTCTATTTCTTCTACTTGGTGGTGTTCTATGACTTTCCTATGTTTCCATAGTTTGCAAATCGGCTCTTTCAATGATAACTAAGAAATGCAGCACAGTATTAATAAAGTTTTCTTTTTAGTATATAAAATTATCCAGGCTCTCAAACTTTTTTCCATTGTAATATTTACGCCAACCCAAATTCAAGGGGTAAATATTTCATTTCAACCAAGTCAGTAAATGTTTCTAGTATACTGTTAAATTAGCTTATTGACGGTTTACGATCAACATATGTCCTTCTTCTCACTTTTAATTTCTGACAACAGCTGGTATTTCATAACAATTTTTGTTTCCCATGTTAATCTTATGGAGAAATACGAAACTTTAAAGGGCCCCAGGACCTCACTCTCTTATTATTTTCCAAAAAAAGAATGTTTCCTGCACAATTTCACGTTATGCAATTTCCAATGACACCAAAAACATGTCAATCGGTTCAGTAGTTTCGGAGGAGTAATTTTCACAAAAAAACATGCTTGCCTATTAATATATAGATAGATTGGCCTTATGTCAAAAATAAATTGCTGGAGAGCTATCAAGATTTTTCAGTAATACAATCTATATTGTTCGATATTCGAAATATTATATGATTTAAAACAAATTGTTGTGATCTCCAGAATTTTTTTAAAAACTGAAACATTTTGTATTTTTAACACTTATTATTTTGCGTATCAATATTGTCTCTATCAACCAACAAATTTGTATTGCAACATTATTCATCAATTGAAATCGTATGCAGGTAATAATATAGGGAGACGACGCAAACACATCGACGTTTTGAAAATATCTACGTTTGAAAAAAAAACAACAAACATTTGAAAAATTACTGAAAGACTACCAACAGAGTGTGTTTTTAAAAATAAAAATAAAAAGCAAATTAAAATTGATCATTTCAAAAAAAAATTAATTTGCCAAATATGTAGTATTTTATACATTATTAATGAAAATATTTACTTGATTTTTTACCGATCTTTATACAACTCGACATGTAGACTATTTTCAACTAAATGAAACCCATCCTAGAAAAAAGTATTAACTGTATCCAATTTTAAATTTCAAATTAAAAGTCTTTAGAAATATTCGCAATTATTTTCATACAATAGCGAAACTGGATAAAAGTTTTACATAGTATTGCATTAACGCACTTTTTATGTGAATTCAATAACACTTTATTTACAAAAACAATAATTGATTCAATAGAGGAAATAAATAAAGGAAATGAAGTTATGGGAGATAGAGCAATCTAGAGATTTTGACAGTATCTCACACAGAACACTGTTGAATAATATTAAGTCTTAGTTAACACAAGTTATCTTTGTATTATTTTGGATCTTATATTATTAATAGACAAAACAATGTTTAAATTTCATACTCTAAAGATAATATCATTACCAAATAGTGATAACTAAAATTTTTTAAAAAGTATGCTTTATCAGTTATTAGATTATTTTGAAAAAAAAAGTATGTTAGACCATGGTTATAGGATAGATAAGTCCACCATTGATATCTTTTATTGAAGATATTTAAGAAAATTTGGTTGAAGACAACTGTATTATTGGTGTTTTTTTTTATTTTTTTTTTAGGTGGATTGTGTGTCTGACCCTAAGCGATGAAATATGTAATAAATAAAAGTATATGTAAATGTATATAAATTAAAATAAAATTATTTTTTATTATATGTAAATAAAAGGTTGGTCCGTCTGACGCAGCTAACAGCTGATTACAGGGACAAGGCTCCAAAGAAACTCACACGATTTATAGCATTAGGATGACGTGTAACAGCTATCGCTAACCACTGTAGCAAACATACATCCTAAGACTCTTTTCTCATTAACTAGCGTCCTAGCCCAATGGCTACAGCATCCAACCAACATACAGGAGACCGGAGCTCAAAACTCGACCAAGCCACAAACTTTTTAACCATAATTAAAATATTAAAATTTATATTATAAGGTATGCATAACATTCAAAAGTACTATGTATAAGGTTACGTACCAGCTGTCAGCTGATTAACCTTAACCTCTGACAATCGGGGAGGGATGTCTACTACTTCTAACAATTAATTTACCCCAGAACCGACATCATTTAGAGCAAATATGAACAACAAACGTTTAAGAAATAATGTGAAAATCTTTTTAGTCAAAGAAAGATGTTCCTCTTTAGAAGATAATTTTAAGAAAAAATATGAAGAGTGATATATAATAGCACAGTTTTGACCCAGTTAATCATGAAAATTAGTTGATATATATTACCTTTTGTATGGAAGTTTTGATATTTTATGACACTTTTCTTGTATGTGTGTACAAAATAATAAATAGATTTTGATATAATATGTTTAGACCAGCTCTCTCACTCCCCTCATTGCCAGTTCCATTTAAATATAAACAAAATATGTTTATATTTTGATAAATGATGGCCAGTAACGTCATTTATTAATGCTTACGATCCATACCGTTTCAGTTTCAATAAACCTATTTAATAACCATTAAATATTAAACAACTATTTTCGTATACAGAGCGATGCAAAAGTATTTACGCATATTTTTGGGAACAAATAAATGTGCAACGCAATGCTTTGCGGTGGCCATCGCATTTGTGGTAATAATATTAATTTAAAGATTTTCTTATTTCAGTAAAAGACCATTGAAAATTTATAACTAAAATGAAAAAATGTAACGCAAAGATATAACGAAGATTATAGAATATCCAAACAAATATTTTTATGTGGTTTTAATAGTAAAAAGAAACTTAACGGAAACAGTTGAAGTAAACTTCCTAACTTTCTTATGAAAATGTACTTTGTAAGATTACAAATATTTCACTCACCTCCCAAGTCAATTTTCCTCTAGCATACTCCTAAAAAAAAATACCTTATATAATACATTTGTTTACAATAGCATTCACTTTCTATTATCCTAAGACCATGAATCTTAAATATGTATATATATATATATTTATATATATATATATTAATTACATTTTTATTCCACTTGACTTTAAGTAAAAGCTAAGACTATGTAGATACAAAACTATTTATCACACTGGGAGATTAACGAGGCAAGGATGTAGTGTATATCAAATTATTGCTTGCCAAAAGTAAAAAAATCTATCGCCTAATATTTTTTTTCACCTATTATATATAAATAAAGTTTTAAGATAATAGAACTGGGATCCAAAATATTTTTGAAAAGGAGTGTATTCGGAATGTTGCCCGGACAGGGTGAGAGTGCAGACTGATTTTCGGCATAACCCGGCCCCTACAAAACCGGTTCAGAGCCACTCTAACCACCTACCCCCAGGCTTCACCAGGACACGTAAAATCAAGTAAAACAATATTTTCGACTCTAATATTTACGTCTCTTTCCAAATTCCATAACTTAATTTAACTTTAAGCCAATATTGCAAATTTATGTTTTGAAGGCTATAAGGCAGTTAACGTCTGACGCCACTGGTTCTGACAGAATCCCAATTTCTTGAATTATACGTGTCTTGTTTGCTCTCCTCCCAGAATTAACTTCCATATTTGATATTTTACTAACATCAGGTATTTTCTCAGAAAAGTGGAAGTCTGCGCTTGTCCGTCCCTAGAATAAAATCTCGTCCACATCGCTTCCGCAAGACTACAGACCAATTAGCATTCTTTCCGCCTTTTCTAAAGCCCTAGAAAGAGTCATTCAATCCCAAGTTTATGATTTCTTTGCACAAAATAACATGCTCAATAGCTTTCAATAAGTTTTTCCTAAAATATTCAGCACTGAAACAGCAATGTTTCATGTAACTGATGACATACGATTTGCTATGGATCGTAGCCAATGTACTATCTTAACATTATTTGACTTCAAGTAAAACCTTCGATACCGTAAACCATAGCATTCTTCTAGCCAAACTCCAACTTTTAGGTTCCTCTGACGATTCACTAATATGGATGAGATCATATCTTCAGAGCTGAAAGCAGTGTGTGTGTGTCATGACAACTTGACGTCCGACTGGAGACAAGTTCCCTGCGGAGTTCCTCAGGGTTCAATTCTTAGTCCTCTGCTTTAACCATTTACATCAATGACATCAATACAGTTCTACATCATGTAAAGTTTCATTTGCACGCTGATTAATTGCAAATATATTCTCAATTTAAAGTGAGCGATGCAAATGAAACTATCAACTTGATGAATCACGAAATCAACAGAATTGTTCAATGGGCAGAAAGGAACGGACTTAGACTCAATCCTGACAAAATAAAGCCAATCATCATAGGTCATTCACGGTTACTCAACAAATTGGACTTAGACTATTTACCGAAAATGACTGTAAACGGTACCACTTTGCAATACGTCAAGGACAAAGTAAAAAGTCTTGGTTTGACTTTAAACCGTGCTTTGGATTGGACTGACGCGTTGGTAAGCACTGGTAACAGAGTGTTTGCCACTGTTCGACCCTTTAAGAAGATTCAACGACTTTTGCCTTTTCACATTAAACTTTTACTGGTCAAATCACTCATGTTTCCACACTTCAACTACTGCATCTTTGTGGTTAATGATATGACTGTGGCTTGGGCAAAAAAATTACGAGTAGAAAATAATTTTGTTTAATTCTTGTCCAATCTTAGGCGTGATGACCATGTCACAACCTATTACATTAATGAATCAATTTTTAAATTAGAGGACATAAAAAAATACGAAAACTTTTTATTACCAATAAAAACCTGTTGCGTTTCATTCGACCATCAATTTTGGTATTCCAAATTATCTTTAAAGAATTTTAAATTATTGCATGAAAGAGGTGCAAGGGATACCCGCTCTGTCTCGTCCACGCTTCGCATTCCTCATCACAGAACAACTGGTTATAACAAATCATTTTTAGTAACAGCATGCCACCTATGGAACTCCATAGCCCTAACTTTTCACATTAAATCCATAGAAAAGAAAACCTATCACGACTGATGGGGGCGCTGAAGGGATATTCCTTTGACCGGATGGCCGTGGCTTGGCGGGATGGTGTGCGTTAGGCCTAGATGCAGCAGATGGTGTATGTGTGTGTCACTGTATGTTAGGGAAGATGAAATAAATTATGCTATTTTATAACTTGTTATGTTAAAACTGCATTGTATTTTTTTGTTAGTAATTTAATGTAATTTTTAGAGGTTATATATATATGTTTGTCGTATTTAACTATCGTAGGTTTTATAATTGTAGACTATTTTAGCACTTTTATTTATATCATTTCTTGGATTTAAAGCAGCTATACCACCAACAAAAGCATTTATTGTCAATATTTTTTTTATGTTTTGATTTAATACTTTCTGGTGTGGGGATGTGTGACTTTGGAGTTAGGGGCTTATCGTAAGTATAATTATTACAAGGCTTGTAAACATGCAGCTACCAATATTTGGTGTGGTCATATATCGACCCACTGCCTTGAGCTTGGTACTTGTGCATGGACGGGTCAATCATTAAAAGAGCATATTCAATTTGAGAGTTTAAATCTGTTTTCTCAATGATTAAGGTCATAAGGCTTCTAAAATCTGAACACATTCTTTTTCACTTATTCATTTTATATTTTGATCTGAGCTTTCACAGAGTTGTACATTTACACCTTACAAGAGATAAAGATGGAATAAACTTATCCCAACATAATTCAGCATTTTATTGAAAAAAAAACAACCCACATAGGATCTAAGTTTTCAAATAATTGACCGACATCACTTAGAGCAAATATGAACAACAAACGTTTAAAAAATAATATGAAAACAATGTGAACACATTTTTTTTCACTTATTCATTTTATATTTTGATTTGTTGTGTGATCAAAAGTTTATTTTATTTGCAAAGGACAAGACTGAAGAGTGTTTTTAAGTTCAGTTTTAATCGATTTACCCATAAATTTTATCATTGTTTATGGAATGTATTTATTTTATACTAAGCTAAATTGTACTTTAAATTATTATTACCATTATTCTAGTTATTACTACTACATTATTACCCTACCTGTAGCAGAAAACCTAGGTACTCGTTTTACATAATGTTATTTAAATATATTTAATTGAAAAGCTCATCAGGCAAATGAAAATTTCCTTCGCTACACGTATTTTTTATACTTAGCTTTATTCGCATTGTATATGGACAATATATTTAGATTTTATTTAAATAGACAATTTAAAGAGGTAAAGCTTTAAATTATCAAGAGTAATACCATAGTTCGATTTACAGTATTACGATCAAAGATGTAGTGTAAAACATCTTTTACAAATTAAACATAATTTTATCATAAACTATCTAGTGTTGTATTCAAATATTTATTTTTTATGTAAGTCAACAGACAACTACTAAAATGTGAAAAGATTATTTGATTTTTTAAATCGGTGAAGCAATTGAAATGTAAAAGAGTAAAAGTGAAAAGGTTAGCTGGTAAAGAATAGGATACTTGAAGTGGGCTCAGTTTGTTGTTAGATCAATTACTGGACTGCAACAGGAGTCAAAAGAAAAAAAATATCTGCTTTAAACAATTCCAATATGAAATTATGTAGGAAAATTAAATATGAGTTTGGTTATACCATGGGGTCAAACATTTTAAAAAGAACCGTGAATTACAGATAAACAATAACGTTTTGTCTATGGGGATAAGAATCTAACATAGAGATATAAATAAATAGCAATAAGTTTTATATCGTCGAAAATCTCATTTTACTGGTTTCGAAATTGAATATGGTTATGAAACATGGAATGTTATGGGAAGTTATACAAGCTATAGCTTAAATACTATAACTATAAACTAATGAACTAATAATAAACAAATGAACTAAAGCTATATAGAGATGTAGATCCCTCCTTAATATTTTTTTCCTGGTGACATTTTAGAAAGGTGATTAATGTATGTAGTTTTGTGAAATTAATAAAAAATAAGTCGGGTGAATAAATTATATATAGTGGAAATTGAATGACCAGACTCACTCGCCAAGTGCCAAGTTCAGGTGCGTAGGGATGCATTAGAGTCTGAAAAAACAAAACTTAATAGTTATTTTAATAGTTTTTAATTACTTATAAAAACTAAAAGTTACAGATTATACATAGGTGTATTGATTTATAATTGTTATCATGTTGGTGTAGGAAGATTTATATCAAAACATGGGAATGTTAACGCCCTCACTCAGGTAAAAAAAAATACGCCTACTATTTTTAATTTGAACATTTGTTACTAAAAATTATCAAACTTACTTTTTAAAAGGCAGGTTTTAAACAACTTACGTCCGGTATTTGAACAGTTTCCAACTGTAAACAAAAAAAACACATGTAAATAACATTATATCTCCGATGAAAAATTGCAACTTATCTATTCACTATCATTTGGTATTTGGGTTGATGTTAAGATTATGAACCACAAAGTCTGGGACTTAGACTTAGCTTAAGGGGATACATTCATTTCTGTTAAGTTATAATACTATACGCAACGATTGCATGATTATGTTTACATAATCATATAAAAATAGTACATGACTATCTAAACATGAACATGATATATAAATATGAAACATGACGGTATCTTATACCGTCATTTTGATGGGCTAACAACGCGAGTTGCTTACACTACTTTACCTACGATGGTTTGTAAACTACGTTTATAAAACATAATGTCCTATATTCTTTCTGTTTGATTTTTAGATAATATTTACTGCTAGCAGGATTATTACAAGTATTATTTTAGGACAACTAGACAAATATTACACAATTTGTATCAATAATGGATGTATTGAAACGGTTTGCTAACAAAATTTATGTCAAAACAAACGAAATTAAAGTATCTCTAAATTTGTATTATTATCAATGAAGGGTCATCAATAAAAGGTTTTGCACACGAATATTGTTTTATAGTAACATTTCTGTAATTAAGGTAGAACAATATTTTACAAACTGTTTGATCGCTTACCTCTATGTCGAAAAGTTCACAGTAAGGTATCGTCTTACAGTGTAACGCAAAGGGTATTAATACGTAAATTTTACGTACATAAGAATGGCATAGTAAGGTATCGTCTTATAGTGTAACGCTAAGGTCGTTAATACATAAATTTGACGTACATAAGAATTGCATTGTAAGGTATCGTCTTACAGTGTAACGCTAAGGTCGTTAATACATAAATTTGACGAACATAAGAATTGCATGGTAAGGTATCGTCTTACAGTGTAACGCTAAGGTCGTTAATACATAAATTTGACGAACATAAGAATTGCATAGTAAGGTATCGTCATACAATGTGACGCAAAGTGTATCAATACGTGAATTTTACGTACATAAGAATTACATAGTAAGGTATCATCTTACAGTGTAACGCAAAGGGTGTCAGTCCTTGATGTTTTATTAACCATATTATTTTTTATGTTGTCGTCTTTAAAGCTCAAGTTCGTTTGTAAAGATACGTACTAAAGATACAAAGACGAATGTGTTATTTATAATAATTTAAAAAATTAATTCTTATTTGCATTAATACTTATTTGCATTATATAATTAATAATTTCTAATTTTATAGTATACAAGCAGAGTACCCGTCCTTCGTACGGGGTTGGCATATAAGTATATTATGCTCAATGCAGTTTTGCTCAAGCGTTGCGTTTGTAATGGGAGAGGAAACAGTTTGATAAAATTTGCGTATTTAAATTTACGGTATATTCTACGGTTTATTGTATTACACATCTACCATAGCCATAATGTTCTACCACTTCGCCTATACAAAAAGTAAAAAAAATCTTAACAATTTGAAAAATATATCACAGATTATTCATGAAATTAAAAACATAAACATAACTGTAAACAATCCTACTTTGACAGTTCTCATTGCGTATCACAGTTGAAATTAGCTGTTTTCATAAATGAAAAAAGTGCAGCACCCTGTTAGTAAATCTTATAACTTTTAAGCGTTTGCATATCATAGAACCAACTTTTTTACTTGAAACAGCTGACTAAATTCTTCAAATACTTATGAGATAACAATATGCCTATATGTTAATCGGGAGTGTGAGCTATCATTATGCCAAATTTCAGCCTTATCCGTCCAGTAGTTAAAGCGTTATTGAACTTCAAACAAACAACTAAACAAATTTTCACATTTAATATTAGTAAGATATATTTTTCTTTAATATTTTTAGAAAATCTTTTTAAAGATTATGAAAGCTGATATTTGTGTTGAAATTTATTGTCAGTAGAGTTTAAGGGATTTGTGATCCCATTTGTAGGGGATCGATGTACCTATTACTTATTCATTTTATTAAAAAAAAAAAATAGTAATTTTGTAACAACAAGATTGAAATTGAAAGTTTCAAAAGTAAAGAAAAAAGATAAGTAAATAAGAGATAGAAGGTGAAACAAGTATACGAACATGTTATAGGAAAACTTGATTAGATATGTTCATATTAGTCTTTACAGGTTTTAGAATTAAGCAAATCCTAAATGGCGGTTTCCTCTATTTACCTAAATTAAAGGCCATACACGTTCACTAAATAACGTGAACGGTTGAATTTAGCTTTCAAAAGCGTTGACGGATGTGTAATTATTTTACACAATACAAATACAAATACAAATACAAATATATTTATTATGAAAATTACAACAGCTTGGCCTCACCAAGTTTATAAAACTTGTCGGTGAGGTCCAATTTATACAATATAAGGCTAACAAACAAATAATTTATATTTTTTTTCTTTTTTTGAACAAAGATTTCTTAATGTCCTATATTTCTAATAGATGTAAAGATCAAAAATTCTTTATATTTTCACCCTTTTCCTGTTACAAAGCACCGTCATAATAAACTCCCAGTAACACTGAACCTTGTAAATAGTAATGCACCAACGCTAAATGAGATCATCAGTAATGAGGTAAGAAGCAGGACTGCCATCTCATAAGTTTCTATTTCAGTTATATCAGTGATCATATTGTTTTACTTGTAGCTTGGGATTGGGTAAAAGAAACCACATTGTATTTTACAAAACAGTACAAAATATAACCGTAGATTAAACCAGGTCTTTGTGGAGTAGTCAGAGGGAGTAGATTGTGGAATACTTTTCTCTGCAAGAAGACCAGGTTATTGGGGCTAGTGGAAATACTGACTTCAGATTTTCCTTGCAGCAACTCATGTTATGTTTTAGCTACAAATCCACAATTGTAACCAAGTAAAAAGGAATTTAGTTGAATTGCAATACATTTGAAACCACGGTCAGTATTTCCATCAGTTGAACGACACAGTCGTCTCCCGTAGACCATGATACACCCATAATTGAGTCATAACCCTACTATCGTCAATACTATTTATTACAGAATTACTAATATATTGTAGAAATGTTGATAAAAACATTCTTTAAATTGCGTAATAGAATATTGTAATATATACCCGTATAACTGCATTTTCTTCTCCTAGTATTTCTGCAACAGTCTCCCATTGTAGCAATGCCTTAAATAAATAAAATATGTAATTAGTACAATTGAGATTTCCTTGTATAATCCAAGTGTGTGACTATTTTTACAGAAGATATTTTACATTGTTTCTTTAGTAATAAAGATTCTCTTACTAAGAACCAAAGGAAGAACAAAGGTATTCTTCTAAGTATATACCCTTATAACTTAGTATTACAACTAAGTATTCTTCGCCGTTGCGAAACATGGGCAGAACAACTACTATTAATAATAATAATTATAGATTACTCTCAATATGGGTATGCTAGTAACAAAATGTTTTAAAGGTGTTTAAACCATAAAAATTTCGAAATTCGCATTACACACATAAAAATATGTTTTTAAAGAACACATTATATCACTGCTTCGACCCTACTTTGGTTTATAGTATCCTAAAGTATCATGTAGTATCATGTATCCTAAAAGTACAAAAAAAGTTTTATTCGTCTTTAATCCTACATGGAATAGTTGAGGGGCCGTATTGTTCATCACAAAATATACACATTCACAATCAACCCATCATATCCTACAAGTAGAATAACCCATAAAATACATATAAGACGAACGAAAAAAAAACCATATGTATCAAACGAACTTTTACAATTTCAATTCAATCATACAATCAATCTAACCCTTCATACAAGCCCTATAAAAAAAATCATACCTTCACATTTACATATCAGATGGACACAAAATCATGCATGAAATACGTTAATTAATTATGCAAAACATGTCAGACGAACATTTACAATTTCAATATCATACCAATAAAAAAAAAATGTTTATCTTAACTACCATCATATCCTATCATTACTGTTTTTTTGTCTGGCAATATACTTTCTAAAAAGTTGAAAAATTTTCTGTTTGTGGTATTTATTATTTAATGTTGATAAAACTCAATAGTTAGGTGGTTCGGGCGAGGCTCAGTCCCTTATGTTTTCATTTGAGTACTACCTAATAGAAAAATAAATTAGAAATATTATTTTTTCCTAATTTCCTTATTCGTATCCTAACTAGAATTTATGTTACCCTATATCATTAACGTTCCATACCTGAACTTGTGCAATAATCTAAGAAAATTACAAAACATATTGGTAAAGTGGATAAAAGAATATGGATAAGACTTACCAACACGTACACCCCAAGAACATAATGGAAGGGCTTCATGTTGGGACGATGCGATTGAACTAACATTCACACCAACTTATACTAGGCAAAATAATTATTTTTCAATTATTAAATGCGTCATTCGCGCACGTGGAATGTGTGCGTCATTCACTAATGATTCAATTAATCCCTAGCAGTTGTGGCCCCGTTACACGACAGGGAATAAAGTATTCGGTTACAACTGTTTATATGATACAACTGAAGGATAAGAATCATTTTATTTGTTAACGCATTGACATTCCTTATTTATATTTTATATATATTTATATAGGTATCTTATATTTTCTTAGGCGAAAAGCCTATTACAAGTTACATCAGCTGAGTAACGATTTTACTCAAAATCGAACCAGCAAATTTCTAATTTAAAGGTGATAACTATAAGCACTCAGCTACCTAGAAAATAAAGTCCGACCTTTTGAAAGCTACAAACGAAAAAATGAAATGACACTTGAATTAACCTACATGAAGAAAGATTTTAAAATGTTTAACGTAGTGAATAGAGGTCATCTGGCAACCTATTTTTATCCAATCGTATACATTTTAGTTCCAATAAGTTTAAAAAGAAGAAAAAGATTGGACTTTTTGTTTAAATAAATCCATTTAGTTAGTAATCAATATAAGGCATTAAGTGAGAAACGTCTTATAGTAAAGCTAAAACTTACTGCTAAAAACTTCTAAACAATAGTTGGAATTTACCATGGTTATCATTATCTTTTATTACAATCCTTGTCACATTTTTTGGAAGGTTTGTCTTGATGGAACGCAGACTTTGGATATTTTAAGCGTGACTTTTGTAATTTACTTTGAGTGTAAGTTTTGTATATTGTATATAGAAAAAATGTAGGTAAAGTGTATCTTTTTAGTCTTAAAAGTACGGGTAAAGACGGTAGAAGGCATAGGTAGGAAAAAAACATTGCTGTTCTTGACTCAGCTCTTATCCACATTTGTGATCAGTGTTGTATTTTATACAATCATTCTAATTTTATTCAATTTTATTGGTTATGTCTGTTCTTGTCGTAGCATTACCAATGCGACGTTTTCAAGATCAGGACAAATCAGAGGATTGGCTGAGAATAATCGTCACTGATAACTGAATCCATTCATCAGTAAACTCGATGTAGTACCTTTTCGAGTCGGGATTTTTTATTTCGAAACTCTTTCCGTTTTTAATAGCCTCAGAATAGTACTTTTATAGATAACAGTGTTATTATTTTTTAAAGGCTTTCCTTAAATATATATCATAGACAGATGATTAGTTCATAAAAACTATAAACATAACACAGATTCAGATTCTTTGTAGCTACTGTGAACCACGCCCTCGCACCTGCGCCTAGTCGAACACATTGGAAGCTACCATGTGCAGAGACGAGGAGCGGCTCACAGCTGTACCTAACAACAAGAAAAAACTTGGAGGAAATGCTCAAGAACAACTCACCGTTTTAGAGGAACAAAACTTTTAATCACAACAACAAAATACATGCAATTCAAAAGTTTTCAAAAATTCAAAATTTTGTGTTCTCACCTATCCTACTTCGTAGCTCACAGCCATTACTTAAGTTATAACAAATTTCAGTTCAGATTAAATTTACTGGAATTAACTTTCAAAATTCCTTCTAAACAAATTACTTGAATTAAAGCAATAACAACAAACGTTATTTTTATTAAATACATTTTTAAGCTTTGTAAAAGTTAACCTTTTAGGGGCCCCCCAATTGATTTATTAACAATAAATAATTAATAAGTTAAATACTTTGCAAGGAAATTTACACTAAATTAATAACAATTAAATAAAGTTGTTCAGTCTATAGCAGCAACAATTATTAAAAGAATAGACAAACTAATAATATAACAATGGACAGTAAACAATGGGCACAAATAACTTGCGATAGACGGATAGTTTGACAGGCCAGTCGCACAGGAGGGTGTTGAAGCTGGGCGAAGAGAGGACCAGACACCCAGAGTCCAAATGGTGGTAAGGATGGGTGATATCTCTCCCAGGTGGCTCTCCTCCGGGGCCCCAGCAGGCAATAATGGCGAGTGAATTCACACATCACCATAAATAATATCACATTAAATGTTTACTAGTGTACCTGTTGACCCGCAGGGGGCCCACGCTTGCGTGGGCACGTGGCCTAGCGACCACGCGGACCCTAGCTAGCCCCCAGAGAGGAGGTAACTGTCCGGTGTTGGAATCGGCATTTCAAGGAGGCCACAGGCATGGACGACTGGGCATTGGGTCCCAGTGACATTCCTTCATCCAGGATAGGGGGGGTGTTTAGCTCTAGGAGAGATGGAAGTGCATCATAATCTCTAACCTACCTGTGTCTGTGGTTCTTTGGGCTTCGGCCTGCTTGTTGTGTGCGACCAGCATTCAGTGTGGCATATCCTCGACTCTGGAAGTAGCCTTTCCTGGAGGTGAAAACGGGCAAGAACCCGCAGCTCATGGGGACACTCAAGGGAAACGTAACTTTCCGCAGTGTGAGGGCAACGGTTTGTAGGCACTTATGCAAACCAATCCCTGTCTCTGATCACGGACGGTATGGTTATCTTGAGTGTGGGGGGTTCTTCCCAGACCTCAATTGAGTTAAGGGTGTCGCCACCTTTGATGGATAGGTTCATCCGGGTGGGTCCCACTTCTATACCCGCCTCCTTTTGGGAAACCTTGATGGCCTGGCAGTGATGTTGGGTCTGACGGGCAAACGAAGTAGATCGGGTGCTGGGTCCGAGCCCGCCAGGGGTATTTGGGGATCTATCGCTCTGGATATCTCTGGTTTCCCAGCAACTGGGTAAGGCCTCGATCGGGTAGTGGTGTAAATGGGAGGTTGGGGTTCCCCCGTTAGTTCGCTGACGGTCCCCTTCCTCCTGGCTATGATGGCGGGTCTTGCCTGTCAGGGATTAGATAGGTCCCGAGTGTCACTTGCACTAAATGCGTCGGGGCGCTCCAGTATGGTCCTCCAGGGTGCCGTACCTGGTGGAACCCAACTGGATTGACGCTTAAACAAGTAGCCGGAATCCCTGGTTAGGATTGAGGGGCAACCCTCTTTCCGAAGGGTCTGCTTCGGCAGCCGGTGAGCTTGATGACCTTAAGTCATCCGCCCATGATGTGCTAAAGGTTGATGCGTAAGCTTCGGCCTACATCATGGGGCCCGGGTATGTCACACGATAGGTACCGGGTATGTAGTCAGGGGGCTTCGGCTCTCATGACAAAGAAATGTAATGTAATGTAGTGTACCTGTTGCTCGAATTCGAGCAATTGGTAAGTATTACAGGCGTTATTTAAAAATGAAAAACAGTCATAATTAATTTCTGATTACTTTAACAGAGTCACCTCAAAGATTATGGAAATACTCACGATGTACATAACAGTTCGATATAATCAACATTTCTTGTAAATATCTTATCACTTTTCAAAAGCTGATGATCATGTTTTTAAGTGTCTTCTACAAATGTTTCCCACTCATAGCCGCTTTAGGTTGTCCATAATAATGATTATTAATTCTAAAAAAAAACACATTATTTCTATTTCTTCTACTTGGTGGTGTTCTATGACTTTCCCATGTTTTCATAGTTTGCAAATTGGCTCTTTAAATGATTGATCAAGAAATGCAGCACAGTGTTGGTCCAGTTTTATTTTTACTATTTCATTGTAATGTTTAGGCCAACCATAATTCAAATAGTAGGCAATATTTCTTTGTCGTCAGGTCCTTGGAATGTTTAAATGAAAATAAAATGTAAAACTTTTCTCTCAACGTGTCCTATTAGGTAATATTTCTTTGCCGGGTTCTAATTAGTAAAAAAAACCATGCAAACTGTTTACATTTCAATTCCAAACAAAACAGCTGGGATTTATTTTTTATACAAAACTAATGTATTGACATCTTTTTCAGAATGTAATAACATTCAAATCAATCACAATGTTATCCTTATGGAAGGAACTTTGAGGGCAATCCACGCCCTTAAAAAGATATATTTCGAAAATCTAAAGCCAGTTTGCACATCTACACATCTAGACGAACATTTTGGTATATAATATGTGGGGTGAAATCTTAAAACAAAAAAGCCTTATTGTTCACAAAGTTTCATGTCGCGTATTAAATATATAGATTACAGCTTGTTCCTCTCAAACGGTAAATTGATCTTGAACCCTTCCTCCACGGTTGTTCTTGTTGTTTAGGTAGGGCTGTGAGCTGACAATTCCTCTGCCAAGGGGGTCGTGATTCCAATTTGGTTCACTTGGGTGCCGGGTGCAGGTGAGAGGGAGTTCACAACAATTGAATTATTCGTAATCCACTGATACGTTGGAAATTGAATCATTACAATTTTACAACTTTTCTCTCAATCCTTGTGCCTCATTGGTCCATTAATAGTGCTGTTAAGAAAAAAATACATGCGTTAAATTGAAGCTTTTCCATGCTAAGAACTGAATCGAAAAGGCTTTTTGTAAACGGTCGTAGGGAAAATATTTTTGGCCCAAAATATTACCTACAATTTTATCATACTGTATTATCCTTATTTTTTTAGAAAATCTAAATTAATGTTGTATTTGGTTGATGAGGAAAAGTTAGCTCTTGAAATTGACTTCTATCTTGTGCTACTCAGCCAAACAGCTGTAACTGACGCACTCATATAATTAGCTAAACAGCTGTATCTGATGTACTCTTCTGATTGGCTTGTTCTGGTAGCTTACACAAATTTAACTGTGTCACTTATCCAGTACTAGCCAATATAATAAAATATTCAAGTTTAAATTCATGATATGTATTTCAATTCTTATTAGTCAAAATATCAATAAGGAACATTTGATGTAGTAAATATACAATGTGACAAGTCGATAAAGATAAATAAATTAAAATAACGTTATCATATACTAAAATACAAGCTAAGTCTGTTAGTCTGTCTGTAATTTATGTATCGAAATCTAGCGGAAGAATGTTTACTACATTTTGGAATTAGGTACTTAGTCATAAAAACATGATTGGTGAATGCCACTACCTTAGGAAAATTTGTACTTCGCTACACAATTCATATGACCTTCACTTCCA